TTAAAATGAAACCGGTTGGAGGGGCTTTTGCTATTCAAACATCATATATCTCATTTAAAAATGTATCTGTTTGGAAAAAGTAAGTTACCACTTATAAAAATGTTAGGAAATATGGGATTATTGTACGTGAAAAGGTTGAGGAAATTAATCTTTGGAATCCACTGTGTGAAATGTCTGTTGATTTATATATTGATCTCTTAGTGGAAAGTAGTTAGGGCCTTTAGCCCGCCCATGTTAATCTCAACTGGTCATTCTTACTTTTATTGGCAAGAAGGGCTACATATTTGTATTGGTTGGAATTTCCTTTGTAGAGTTAAGATTTCATTATCTGTCCTTGTTTTACAGCTACTATAAAAATGGCTGTCCAGCAAGATGCCTCATATTCACTTCTCTATTTAATCTTTACTGTAGCAAATGCTGCTCTTCAGTGTGTTCTTGTAATTTATCAGTGAGAAGGAAGGTTACGATGGAGATGTCCAAAAGTGAGGGATTTAATTTAATTTCAGTATTTTGTAGACGCATGTTAAAGTGCTGTCATCTGATTGCAACTATTCAGGATTATTTTAATTGTATATTTCAAAGTTTAGGTACAAACAAAATGATGTTGCCCTTTGCATCAGATGGATAAAACATGTGATGCCTGTGAACTTAATAAAAACATTTAATATAATCTAACATGCTTTTCTAAAGCAAATACAGACCATTCTTTATCCACTTTCATGCCACGAGTTGCTGTAGAATTTATTGACATAGCAGTGCTTCAATGGGCCTCTTCAGTGCTCTTAGCAATACCTTTAAGATAAACAAAGGTACAGTATTTTATAAACCCGATTACTTGAAAAATTCTTGTCAATCAGTCACGGAAAATCAAATGAAACAGGACATCTAATAGAATGGAATGAGAAATGTTCTATCCAGTGGGGATGTTGTTCTTTTGGTTTTGTACTTTCTGAAAAAGCATCATAGAGCATAACTGTCAAGACCGTACTACCTCTACCTCTAGTAGTCACTACTACCTCTTTCATTAAGATTCTGACGTTGTCAGGTCTACTCTGATTTTATAGTAATAGGTTCATATTTCAATGGTTTCAGGTATTTTTCAGGGGTTTAAATACATAATATATTTTCTGACTTATTTTCTCTTATAAAGCTAAGGTATTAGAATTGAGTATCAACAGCATTTCTAATTTCTTAGGTAAATCTGTTTAGCATGCACATTAATTAATAGAACTAAATTTTGCGTTTTTCCATTATTCATATAAATGTATTATGCTATAATTGAAACATCTTATCTTATCTCTTTTGCCTGTGCTGCCATTTAAGTACTGTGAATAGCTTGTTGTAGGTCAGTGGTTCTCAAACTTTTTGGACCAAGTACCATCCCTAATCCAACCAAAGCATCCAAGTACCACCTACAAGTCATCTTCTCATTGGAACCCCAGAAATTCTCAATGACCAACATGAGCGCGTGTGCACACACTCACACATACATATAATAAATATTATAATAATAAACTTAATTTGATATAGCGCCTTTAAAGGTGGCTTCTTAAAGTGTTTTACAGAAAAAAAAACATTAACAACAACTAAAAAAAGCACAATTTCAGTGAGAGGGGTGAGCCTGTTTAGTTGAGCAAAGCAGATGTGAATTAATTTTTCGAGCCTTGATACAATTCACAACGGAGTCTAACATATTAAATCGTCAGGCATTTTCTTGACGGCAAAGATCTCGCGGTGGATGTTGTAATGCGTACATTAATTTCTGGAGCAACCAATCTAATTCGTCCAACTACACCGTTATGTCGGCTTGTCATTGCTCTAGCACCGTCTGTACAAACTCCGACGCATTTTATCCAGTCGAGGCCATAAATGCATTCAGAAGCTGAAATATGTGCTCTCCTGTAGTTCCTGTTGGTACTGGTTTACAAAACAGAAAGTCTTCATGGGACATGCCCTCAAACTCGTATCTAACGTAAACGAGCAAATTGGCCAAATCGACTACAGACTCATCTAATTGCAGTGAAAAACATCTGCTCATCTTAACGTGCTCTATCAGTGTACTTTTGATATAATCCTTCATTTAAATAATTCTATGAATGACTGTGTCTTTCAGGGGGAGGGGGGCAGCAGGTCGAGCTGTTTAGCAGCTTTTTCTCTACACATAATACGTGTCAGCTCTTTTGCCAACGGTAAATAAGGTTCTTCAAAAATAGTGTAGCTTACCTGCTTTAGCCATCCGCAAGCTTGCATTTTTCCGCGTTTCCGTTTTTATTTCCGTATTTATTTAAAGTTTTTATTTCATGCGCATGGGAGCGAAACACAGAGACTCTCAAATTAGAACAGTTCTTAAATATTTTTCCGTTATCACGCTTTCGTGTGCTCACAAGATTACCTGCGTTCGTAGCACGTATTTCTATGCATTCCTGTGTTTACAACGTTAGCATTGTTCCAAAATCACGCACATTCTCCTTTTTCCCAATAGCTGGAGATACAGTAGCTTTTTAAAAGACAATTGGTCATTTGCATCCGTAGCACGCATTCCTATAGAGTGGTATAGAATTACAGAGTATCTCTTTTGTCCACTGAACTATTAGCGCGCACTGTATCGTAGTACGTAGGCTGCGTATTCGACACGTATTAAAATACAAAATATGAAAACCCGTCACGATTTTTCTGTGCACACGACACAGTTACAGGGTCATTTGGCGTACCACTTGGCGGCACTCCACGTACCACTGCCGGTACGCGTACCACAGTTTGAGAACCACTGTTGTAGGTGAATGGGTTGTTAGTATTTTCAGATAAATTTCAAGGAAAATATATTTAAATTAGACTTCTAGCCAACAAAGTAATTTGATAAGCATTGTATTTGACTTTGATTATACATGACAGTTTATCCCACTAGCTTTATCTTGAATGTGGCAGCTACAGTGTGCACAGGCACATCCCCTGAAGTTTGGCATACAAGCCACAAATTGCATTTCACAACAAAACAAATTGTAGTATTAAGCCATTTATTGTGATAATAACAAATATCATAGTTGTATTTGTTAGGAAAGTCCATGCCACGATATTAAATGCTTTCAGTATAAGTGAAAATAATATTGGATAAGATGAAAATCTAAGAAAGATATCCCATGTGTGTAGTTAGTGCAGCCCTAAAGGAGAAATTGTAGAAGAATACTACAGTTTAGCAAGAGTTTGAAACAATTTTTTGAAACCACCATGTGATTCACCACACAAACTTGTCTAACAAACCTTTCGGGTTGTGATGTTTTTTAACACCCACGAGCACTACAAGCAAGCATGTATTATACTACATGTGGTTTGACAAAAGCAGCCTGGAAGGAAGCAGCAGTTGAACTGAGTCAATTGTAGATGCTCCTTTTCCAGCTGCAATACGTGTCTCTGCTGGTTTTGTGGTACTCTTTCTGGCCATTGAAAGTAATGACTGTTGATTGGAGATCGCACTACACATCTACAGTATTTATGGTATTTACTGATTGTTTCTTTCTTATTTCACTTAGTATACTAACATGAACAATGTATCATGTTTAAATATTAGATTGGTTGTAGTTGTAAAGATAAAGTCAATTCTCAAGTTAAAGGTGTCAGTTTGTGTCATTCACTGTATGATGACATTATATCAAACAATTTTTTTCTGGTGCATGAACTGAAGTATGAAACCCAGGCAGGGGACAGTCTTGGTTTGTGTAGCTTATGATGTAGTTTAGTTGTGGCTTTTGAGTTATAAAAGAGAAAGTTTAACTATATTCAATCTCTTTTGTCTGCTTTTATGACAATGATGGCAATTCAGATTACTAAAAGTCTGTCCTTAAGTGAAACCATTCCATAGTGCTTTAATGTAACATAACTTCAGTGGCAATTTCTGACTCGTGCTTTAGCCTGCATTTAAAATGAAAACATTCTGCTGAGAGTGAAAAGTATATAAACCCTGGATACAAATACCATAAAGTCAATACAACCTATTTACACCTCATTCCCATATCTGAGTTTTACACTCATCTCCACTGGGAAGCCCACCTCATGTAGTGAAAGTCAGTGGTCAATATAACACCAAAGAGCTGGCTTGATAGATACTGGACCCCTTCAAAGAGAGTAGTTATCTTTCTGGGGATACAGAGAATAATAACAACAACCTTGTTTGCTGTATAGACATTTTTAGGCAGTGAATTTAAAGATTACTAGAGAAGTGGATAGCAAGTAACATTATTTGTTCCAACATTCCCTTTTCCCCTCTGTTGTTATATTGTGAACAGCAATTCACTTTTACACAGCACTTTTCATTCCAACTAAGAATGGAAACACAGCTATTGCACAGCTGAAATAACAATCCTATAACACAGTGTAGACCCCTTTGGGATAGATGCTTTTAGTTGTAACTTGTAGCTTCAAAATCATCATTTCTGTATGATTTTGTTTCTAAAGTACTTTTCTTGCAAGCAAGTCACAATTTAAGACTTAAACTGATTTGAAAATTCAGTTAACTCACATCAATGTATATTACTGATATTTCTATATGAGAAGCTGTAGCATGCACTAAATTCCTTGAAGAAATCAAGAATAAAGTCAACACTAGTATCTTTCATGAGGAATTCCTGTAGATTGTAGGCTTTTGTTCTGAAAATCCTGTTTGTGTTGGAGAGTTTGAGTTCTTTTGGCTTTTAATTATTTTTTAAAATTACCACTGAATGCATTTTCACCCTTTAATGATTTAGGTGATTCTTTTAAACTGGGTAGCTAGAGTTATAAAGCTGCTTCGCTTTTTATTATATGATGTAATTCTATGGGCCACAGCAGATCTTAAAAAAGCTTAAGAAATGTGTTTAAATGGGTTATAAAGCACTTTGAGCTGTTTGTACAGTAGCCATCAAAAGGGAGCTTTTCTGATGAAACATACTTGATTGGTATGGAGTGTCTTTTGGAGAAAGATTGGACTGAAATGTTAACCCTTCTGTGTTTACCCTTTCCATTCACAGCTGGTTTGCCGCTTGCTGTTTTTAACCTGGCCAAAATAAAGCCTTATCAGAGGGGCTTTTTCTGTAATGATGACAGCATCAACTACCCATTCCATAACAGTACCATCACTTCCACTGTCCTCTACACAGTGGGGTTCACTCTGCCAATTTGCTCTGTAAGTAACTCGCTTTCATAAGCAAAAAGGGGGACTGGCTTTAAAGTAGCATGCTGCATGCCAGGGGGCTCAAATGAGTGGCAACCAATGGTCCAACAGCATTATTAAGAAACAATGTCGTGTGCAATGCAATACACACATTTCCTCACCTGGCTATCTCAAACATGGGATATATCATATACAGAGGTATATGATGTGAATATTGAGTCATTTATATATGATGACAGTAATACACAAGCACTGTTCTCATTGCTTTGTATTTAACATCCCAGAGGTTTTTAATGTCTGCTGCAATTGGTAGTCTATTGCAATTCACACATCCTTTGTAATGTGTTGCTACATGTACAAGAAGAAATGGGGGTCATCTACAGTATGTGTTGTCTACTCTTCACCTCTGGAGCAATCATTTCAACACTATACATGCTGGGGTCTTGTGTACTGAATTAATTAAATTAACTGTATTTGATCTAAACAATTAACAATTATGCCTAAAAACAAATACCCCAAAGAATAGAGGATAATTTTATGGGTTTTCTTTTTGTTAGTTGAAGTAAGTAATATTTTCAAATGATAAAGTGGTTCTAGTTAATTCCAGTAGATTACATGTCCTTCATTTTTCTCTTTGCACCTCAACTGTTTACAAAACAAGTAAATCAATTGAAAAGCCAGATCAGAGAGTTCCATCCTGTATTCAGTCTCAGCAACTTGTGCTGTGAAACCCTTGACAGAAACCTCATCTGATCATGGAAGCTAAGCAGTTCTGGGCCTGGTCAGTACTGAGATGGGAGACTTCCTAGGAAAAATCAGGATGTTTTCTGATACTGGTGCTGGTGGATAAGTAACTGGCACTTTTCCCTCTGAGCCAGAATTTCTACTCTATGATGTAGGAGGTGCCATTCTTAAGAAGGTCCTGACTACTTGTCTTTAAAAATCCCATTCCTTTGACTAAAATCCACTTTCCTTTAATTCAGTTGAAAAATGTGCATCTGTTTGTGCGTCCGCTTGGATCTGCTGTGTAGTGAGGTTGCTGGAGCAGAATAACACACATCATCAAGGAGAGTGTTGCCCCGATAAATAATCTCCTTTGGGATCCTTTGAAATAATGAGTGCTACAATATATGAATACAATTAATTTGAATTTAATTGTGAGTGCTTAGGATAATCTTTATACTCAGTCATCTTAGTTTTTGTCAGTGACAGAAGTGAAGCTAATGGAGGAGAGTGCATTTCCAATTCAACTACAAAATCCAATGACCGAATCCTTGTACCTAAAGTAAGCACAAAAAATACGTATTTCACTTTTGTTTGGTTATGTTTTGTTCTATAGAAACCCCAGATGTTTGATCATTGTAACAAGTGTAATCTCTCAGAGATGTCATCTTTATTAAGCTTTTTGTGATGTCCCATCGGGGTGCTGTTTCTCAAGGGCTTCTTAATACTTACTTGAAACCCCTGAGCATGCCTGTGTGTTTTAACTATACCTGCCTGACATGTGCACTGTTTGGTTATCTTAGTGTCTACGAGTGCTTTCTACAGAATACATAACTTATATCAAGGATATCTGCAGTATGTATCATACATGCTGTACCGGTACAATTATAAATGATCTTTATGGAAAAAAGAAGTAAAAGCTCCAATGTGTGATGTCATGGACACCAATAACTACAGTGCCAAACAACTAATGCTGAATTTTTTTATTACTGTTATCTTCAGAATTTATTGGACAACATTTTGGATCCAGATCAGAATGTGTACAAGGATGTATTGGATTAGGTGATTAGAAAATGTTTAACTTTGGAAGACACGCACACCCAAAAGATTTAGTTTGGTAGAAGCTGAAGGCTAAAATCCTGCCCCAGATTTTTAGAGCATATTGTGATGGCTATGTTGCATTGCCTGTCTAAGAAACTAATGTGAAGTGCATAACAGATTTAGGAAGGAATTAGGGAATGAGTTAACCTTCTTATAGGGTTTAGAGAGTGGAGGAGAATGGATCTTGTCTGTTAAAGGAGGAGGAGCTTCATGGGGACTTTTTATACTAAACTACTGTTCCACTGCAAAAGCAGAAACTATTTTAGTCTACCAAGTTATTGATATTAAAAATAAAGTATTCAAAGAGTTTCAAACAATGAGTATATCTAAGTATTTATAAAATCAACCATGTTCTCATTAAGATGCTTTATAGTCCTTCTTAGTGCTTAGGAATGGGACAGTAAACTGTATTCAAACCACTTTCAGATAGTTAGTTAAGGGTCAAAATTTGTATAGGAATGGGGGTTCCAGTAAATTATTGGCCATAAATCTAATTCTTTACATCCTGTTTTCCAAAATGCATAAAGGGCAATATTGCTTTCATAAAAGGAAAATCGTATAAAATACTCCATATGCATACTTTAATGTGGCTTTTAGTGTAAGGATGCAATAAATTCAAAATTATTATATTTTCAAGGAATTACTATACTGTACATCTAGCAGTTAAGGCTATTTTGCAATAAAAATGTTACCAGTTCAATTTTGACCGCCATCGTCTCCTGTGCAGCTCTGCTTTTAATTATGAAACTATAGCACATTAACACAGTAATGGATTGGTAAAGACCATTTTTAATGGACTCTTCCTCTTTCTGGATTTCACTTGAGGTTCTCTCTATGAAAATGGCTGGAATATGTTCTGGTGAGAAAAGCAATGGCTGATGATAACTTGCATGATTTGCGTATGGAAAACAGCTTAAACAACAAGTATGATATTTGTATGTGATGATGTTATAATTGTAGGGTCTTGTCTTTTTTTCTCTTGATAGTATGAGACCATCAGACATTTTACTGCTTCTACTTTCCAGCATGAAGGGGTCTTGCCCCTGGTCTGTCCCTTAAATCTATTTCAATTTGATGAATAAGTATCCAAACTTGAAATGCAAGAAGGCTTCTCTCCAGAAAATAAAACATGAAATGGCAGAAGTGTTTTATCACAAAATAAATGTTGCACATGGCTGAACCTAAACAGAGTCCTATAAATTGAATTTTATAATAGTATATACTGTATCTTAATTGTTGTTTCAGCACACTTAGTTTGATGCCCACTGTTTTACTACATTATAATTGTTGAACATTTTTGCTTTAAACTGGCAGAGAGCAATTCAGTTCACAAGTGGTACTCACAATGCAGCATTTACTGGTAAAGGAGAAGCAATGTGTAATACCATTCTAATTCATTCATCTTTAGCAAAGTAGTTTTTCATAGCATTTCACCTGTTTTGAGCTGTAATTATTGTCTTTATAATGTGTGTTTGCACTTACCCTGTGATGGAACCTGGTCCATTCAAGGCTGTAATTCCATTTTGCATCCAATGTTTCTAGGAGAGTTTTCTTATTCCAGTAATCCTTACTGAGAAACAGGGACTTTTTAATAATGGATAGATGGGTGGAGTTGTCACTAAAATTGTGTACTCTTTAAGAATTAAACTGCTAAGTTACAAAATATTAGCTAAGGGAGTAATATAAAAAGCATTTTGTGTTCATTTTTAAAAAAAAATATTTTTAGCAGGCATAAGGGCAGTGGGTCTGCACAGTGTTGTAGTGGTTTGCATTGCTGCCTCACAGTGCTGGGGCCCTGGGTTTGATTCTTCCTGGAGTGCTCTCTGGCACGGAGTTTGTACGTTCTCCACATGCTTGCGTTTCGTACAGGGCTGGACAAATAATGGAAACACTTAATGAAAAAGGACTGATATTTTGAAGTAATTAAATTGCAATTGTGTTACAGTGGCAATACAGTGGTATTGCTGCCTTTCAGTGCTGACGCTCTGGGTTAAAATCTGGACCTGGGGTGCTGTCTGCATGGACTTTGTATGTTCTTCCTGTGTTTGCATGGGTTTTCGGTCAGGTGCTCCAGTTTTGTCCCATAGTCCAAGGACATACTGGTAGTTTAAATGGATTCTGAGAGGGAGTTTTTGTTTTTGTATCAGTCCAGCGATGGTCTAGTGTTCTGTCAAAGGTATATCCTGCCTTGTGCCGGATGCTTGGTGAGCTCCGTGACCCTAAATTGGATGAAATAGAAAATGGATGAATTGATGGATAAGGGCAAAGATATTCAGACTACAGAGTGATTGTCTACTCCTTTATCTAGAACTGAAAAGGAAATTTGGATTGTGGCAACATCCTGCTGTAGCAACAGATAACAGCAATACTAGTGGACCTGCCCACTGCAGGCCACAGCCCTTTAATTTTGAAACCCTTAGGCTTGTGCCTGTATATAGAAAGACCAAACTGACTTCGATGAGTCGTTAGATCTTGGGGCCTCATGTTCTTGTAAGCAGTAAAATGTTTTTACTTGATTTAATGAGTGAGCAGTTAAGTATACACATTTATAGAACTTAGATGTTGCTTGATTAAATGCTATTTTTCTTTCTGCATTGGGTTCACAGCATATTCATTTAAATTATGTTTTAGTAATGTACATTTAGGCATGTTTAATTCATTTTTACACCAAATGTCAAATGTTTGGTTGACAACAAACTGCAAACAATGTTTGTAGCACCTTGTCAAATCTGTTGTTTGAGTGAAACATCTGTATTTTGCCTCCCTCTTTAGGTTGATCAGTAATTAATTCCCATTTTTATCAAATTATGTCATCCTATTAATTTTGTATTACTGTAGGTTCTGAATGATTGGTCTGATTTAAAAGAGCACTTTTTGCAGGTTTTCCCCTACTAGTTAAACACATAAGTATAGTGCATTTTGTCAGATGTGTTTACAGTGATTAACTTAATAGAAGAGTATATTTATTAAAAATTAAACATGTAGACATTCCTCATGTACTTTAACTCGGATACACTCATGCAAAAACTGTTTTGGGTCATGTCTGTGCTGAGAAAAATAGATTTTTTGGCAACTAAAATGTTTTTTTTTCTTCAGCTGATGAAAATCCTAGTTAAAAGGATTGATATGACACCCCGTAATCAATTGGATAGCGTCACTGGTGATTTGTATCTTGGGATGCTCAGTGA